AGATGGAAGCCATTGGAAGAGGATGTGATCTTTAATTCTGTTTTGGAAGGAGGCAAGAGTTGAAGCAGATACTTGTACCTAGAATAAGTAAACAAATGCCTTTTTTCTTTCAAAGGGAAATAAATAAGAGGCACAATCTGATGTGTATAGTCTAGTTCCACTTTTCACACTGACCGACTAAGCTGACATAACCATTTCTTTAATCGCTTCCTTTACACAGTTTGGGTGGTATTGAAACGCTTTCTGTGAGAGTTCCTTTGAGGTCCATGATTCCTAACTCATTTCCTCATATTTCAAATCCTGTAAATCTAAGATGCACTACCTCAGCTGTGTTCTTTTGAACTATTTATTCTAACATTGCCTGATTTGTTGCTGGTTCCATTTGCCACAGTACCTATCCTAAACCTTCTCCAGAGACCTCACATTTTCAATCTGAGTTCCTAGAGGCTCCATGGTGGCTGGCAGGCAATGAGAGCACAAACTTCTGATGCCTGCTATCAGTGGTGTCACCAATGACTCTCATTCAACAAATATTTATTGAGTGACTCAGTATATTTTCAACCAATAATTGAGTGACTATTTTATTGAGTGCCAAGCCATCAGGCATTGTTCTGGATGCTGAAGATGTAGCAGGGAACAAAGACAGAGAAGCCCTGCATTCATGGAGCTCACATTGTAGTTGGGAGTGACAAACAAGGAGTAACAAATTATACATACAGTCTCAAGTGGTGGCAAGTGCTCTAATGACATGAAAGGCAGGGCAAGGGCAGAAGCCATTTTAAAGAAGAAAGTCAGGAACAACTTCTGTTGGAGTGACATTTAAGAAAAGATATGAATTAAGTATGGGACTGAGCATGGAGGAAGAAAATGACAAGATGTAGAAAGAGCAAGTGAAATTCATGGTAAGATGAATATTGTTGCTGTGTTTGGGGAAACTGCCAGGGGATCCACCTGAATAGTGAAGATTGCATGAAGTGGTGAGAAGGAAAACAGGTCACAGTGAAAAGTGTGTTCAAATTATTAAAGCTCTATACAAGTTAAATTCACCTTTGGTTTGAGATGGAAGCCATTGGAAGAGGATGTGATCTTTAATTCTGTTTTGGAAGGAGGCAAGAGTTGAAGCAGATACTTGTACCTAGACTTTCTGAAATAACCAGGTCCTTTACATAGCTTTGATTTCCAGCTTGTTTTTTATTTTTTTAATTTCTTTCCAATTCAGATTTCATATCTACTTGCAATAACTCAAATAACTCCTGGGAACTTCTGGCCTTAAATAACCCATCTAGCAAAAAAAGGTTAATCCTGAAGAGTCCTTAAATTAACTTACACTGCTGTCCTACCTAGGACACTCAATTCTACTGGAAAAAAATTTTCATTGATTTTTTCTAAACATAGAAAGAACTACATTGCTTAGCAAAGTTTTCCCTTGTACTTGGTTTTATAGCTCTAAACTGTCCAAAAATAGTGTTATTTTTTTGAAGCATCTAATTCATCTCACCCATTAAGCAATCACTTGTAATGTAGAGAAAATAAATCCTTTGAGCATAAATGCCTTCAACTTCCCTTCCCAATTTTCTGTATAGTACATAAATCTGATCAGATTTCAAACTTTCTCCATCCCATCTTAAGTCCAGGTGACTCCAATTTGTCCCCCAAAATGTTTTACCACTATGCTCGTTTTCCTTTCCTCCCTCATTCTTACATAACTTTTTAAAATTAAGATGTACTTTCTAATGTAGATTGTGGTGGAAAAAGAAAATCAATGCTGAATGTTCATATTTCAACAATTTCCAGTTGCAGAGTCATTGACAAAAATGTTCCTTTAATCCCATCCTAACTATCATTATAACTATTCCAGATAAGAAAATTGTAGTTTAAAGAGATGAAGCAATCTCCACAGTCATTGTGTCACTGATCATGATGGTCAAGGTAACTTTTTGAAATTTCACCCCTTTGGCTTCCACCACAGTTCACAAACTGCCTGGAAATACTCTTCACTTCTGCTCTTCTTTCCCTTCTGGAGATCCTCATGGACCTATTTTCTCTCCCACATGACACTGATGTTACATTTGGGTTTTGCCCTCCCCCCACAGCTCCTCTGAGACTGCACACTCTTTCCTTTTGAATCTCTCCAATTTTCATAGTTTTTATTACAATTGATAAACTGATTTCTCTTAAGTTTTCACCGCCAGCCTGGACTCTTTCCTCCCTGCTTGAGAATCAGATACTCAGTCCTTTCCTGGGTTATCTTTCTGCCATTGCCTTGCACGTTGGCTTGTTTCACACATTATAAGATGTCTTAGACAGCTGAGGCTGCTATAACAAAATACCACAGCCTGGGTGGCTTAAACAATAATTTATTTCTCACAGTTCTGGAGTCTGGGAAGTTCAAGATCAGGGAGACAGTGTGGATGGGCTCCTGGGTCAGCCTTCTTGGCTTGTCCAGTTCCTGTACCTTCACATAGTGAAGAGAGGATCTTCAGTGCGTCCTCTCTTATAAGGGCACTTGACCATCACGGAGCCTCCTGCTCAGGACCTCCTGTTAACCCAATTATATCCTAATGTCCTGCTTCCTAATACAACACTTTGTGCAGCAGAGCTTCAGTATGGATTAGGGGGATACAAACATTCAGTCCAAACGTAAGATATTAAGCCCCATACGAGCAGGAAGAGGAGGCTGCCACTTTGTGTTTTATGTTATATGGCTTGTAGCCAGATCTTTTTTTATATTTATCAATTACAGTATTTTTCATTTTAATAATTCACAGACATATGACACAAAATGTTTTTTAGTTACATAAACAATCATCATGGGTTATGTGGTAGACTGTAGACCATGCTTTCATTGTAGGAGACCACGCTCAAATGAGGGAGAAGGAAGAGGAGGAGGAGGACGGGGAAAGAGAACAGGAGGAGAAGGAAGAGCAGAAAGAAAATCCAGCATAAATATCACCATAAATACCTGTCACAAGTACGTCCTCATGCCATCAATTTAATGTCACTCTTGTGATATAGCAATAGCTCTTCATTGATTCTTCCCTCGTAAGTGAAAGACCTGACATTTTGAAACAGTATGGGGGTTGGTTACAGAGGAAGAGATATCTGTCTTAATTATAAAGTATCAGGACGTGTTCTGGTCCATCGATATTCTAAAATGACATACTGTTCCAGGAGGATAAACCCACAGCTGCCACAGGAAGGCTAACCTCGACCAGAGCCCACTATTCATGATTCCCACTGTCACACGCAATCCCCACACTTCCTTCATGGTGAAGCAGAAAATGGTGGGTGCAATAAGGCCTCCATGTTGGTGTCCCACCCGAACTATGAGTAGTTCAGCATAGCTATAGGTTTGAAATGTGTGTACTAGCATCTATCGAGTCTTATTAGCTGGCAGTTTGTTTTGGTTGCTGCTGAAGTTGGGGAGCAGCTTTGGAGCATTAGTTCACCTGTTCACTAGCCTGCCTGTCCCAGGTCTGCTGGAATAATGCCCAGCACTTTGCTTAAATGAATCAATGAAGAAATAATTGAGGAAGAAAGAGGGGATGAAGTAGTGAGGAAGGGAGGGAAAGAGAAGAAGAAGGAGGGAAATCATTTGATTTTCCACAATGGAATGAGCAGGGCATACTTTTTAAAGTCAGACTTCTTTCAGTGCTTATTATGCCCTACATATCTATTTTTTCCATCAAGAATATACTAGATGGATTTGTTTTACATTTGAGATTGACTATATATCTACAAGGCTTAGAAATCAAAGAAAAAAGAATAAGTATGATAGAAATTGGACTTCGCTTTAACTGTTTTTGGTCTTTATAAAATATTTATGTTTTGTATATTAACAGAGAATAAAATAGTATCAGTGGACTTGTTCGATAAATTACATAAGTTTCACCTAACACTAAATTAAACCTTAAGTTATATTTATAGAATCTTCTATAAACTAATAATACATTTATGAGTTATAAGGTTTTTCAAACTCTTTAGCATACAAATAATCAACTAAGTATATCATTAGAATGGAATTCATACTGCACCTAAAAGATTCTGATTCAACATGTCTGGAAAGAGGGCCTATGAATTTCCATTTCCAGCAGGCTCTCAGGTGATGCTGTTTCTCAGGGTCCAATGTACCACACTTTGAGGAACAATGAACTACCACATAAATGTTATCTAAACTTCAACAATGAATTTCTGATATTCATAAATTGATATATTGAATTATCTAACCACTAACAAAGGTGTGAATTTCTATCCCAATTTACCTAGGGACTTAATGAAGACTAACTCTTCCTTCTTTCTAGTTAGTAAGTTCAAAAGAAAGCATCCATTAAGAAATAAAGCCCTTAAAGACTCAAAGGAAATATATTAAATTCCAAAACATAGGCACCCAGTTTTATGCAAAATACAAAGTACTGAGCTTCTATGGTTATTTGACATTAAAAATCAGGACAATTGATTTATCATATAAAACACAGGATTACTGGGTTTCCCGAATATTTTAATATTCTTCAAACTTCAAATATTCTAAAGTCAATGGAATCAGAGTACCATTTAAAATTTGTAGGACATCTTTGACATCAATGATGACTCCAATTTTATTATGCCATTTCTTATCATTTATTAGATGAACACAGGCAAAATTTAGGTAAGATGGTATCATTTTTGGCTTTGAGTTGTTCCCTGTTGGACATGTACTTGTTGAAACAGGGTGGACGGTGTCCTACAGAAACATTCTTACCCTTTCGATTCATTTCTATGTTTGGTTTACTCCAGCATACATTTCCCTTTGTCTCATTCACATCTGCCTAGACTAACACTGGCAGTAACATTTGATGGCTCCATTTGTTTCCTGGTGACTCTGCCTCACAGGAAACAGATTGTAAAGTCACCCTGTGAAGTTTGCTCTTAGTGTCTGTGGGGACAGATATGGGCATTATTTTCAGTTCCATAATATGATCTCATACTTCACATTTAGAAAAACAACTGGAGGATTTCAGTTTGTATAAATACAACGGTGCTCTAGAAGCACACATCATCGCTTAAGCTTCAGAATTTCAGCTCCTCTGACTCTTCGGTCTCATCTTGGGTAAAAGGTAATATATTCGCGTACAATCGTATATGCTGTTTTATTCTAATCTGGTTTTGCTGGAATAAATTGAAACCACATATAAAATAAATGTTTTTTATTGCTAATTTCTCATGAAGAAACTATTTAAGGAAATGACTATATATCAGGATCTGAAGGTAGGTTGAGGATTGCATTGCCTCCATGTTGACAGCAATCATAGCACAAAGTGAATGGTGTAGCAAGTGGAGGTATGTGCTCCATCTCTGTTGGTGGGAACATTCTAGAAGGCTTTTTACTTCCTTGACTTATACATCCGCTTTTTAATAACTTTTACCATTAATTTCAAACAAATTTAAATTTTGTAAGAAAATGATGTCTTGAGTAGCATAAGCTGTCTTCTGGCAAATTTGTGTATTATTTCAAACATTTGAGTAACCTTTTTCAGAAGTACTTGCTTCCCATCATTAATTCATTTCTGCTACCTCTTTGGTGTCTCATTCATCAATCAAAATGGTTTGGTTTTTGCCTAATTATCATTATGTAATAGATTATGTTAATACTTCATTTATTCAATATATTTTCATTTCATTCATGATTGTGCTGAAAAAACTAAAAGCTGGTTTTCCTATTTCAAACTATTATCATTCTGTTTTTGAGAAACATTTTTTCAAAGCCATTATCTATCTATCTACACCTATATCTAGTTATCCATCTATCCATCTATCTCTGTAGAACACTATGCTGTGAATTTCCCTTCAATCTTCTATGCTCAATGAAATTCTGGTTATAAATACCCCTATAAGTTATATTCCTTTTTATTATATCATCACTGAATATTTAGCCTAAGTAGTAAATGACAGAAAAACTTCACCAGGTGGTATATAATGTTGACGGCTTGTGTAATGCTACAGTCCCAAGTAACAACCAATTAGGCAAATAGCAGATGAACAACAAGGGAAATACCACCATTCCCGGATTCTGCTTCATGTGTTAGGGTTTAGAGTCCTTCAGAAGGATCGTTTATATCACCCCTAGATGAAAGCTGTTTTTGTAATTCCATCCAACTAATGCTTCAAGAAGATCAGGTAAAAGTGTTCTTATTCATTATTTACCTTATAGTTTGAAAAATGTTTCATTCAGATGTCTACCATTCAGAAATAAATAATCTGATGACTTCTCTTCAATAGCAACAGAATAGGCTCAGTTGCATATACAAAATGACAAAAACATATTAAAGAATCCCAGATTCGGTTACTTTTATTGAATAAGATTATTTGAATATTATATTATTTTTACCAATTCAATTTCTCAAAGTATCTACAAATATTTTTCCTGAAACTCCTTTTCAATTTGAATTTTCTCTGCTCCCTCTCATTGATTTTTTCATACCAAGGTCACACCATCTATACAATTCTCAAGCCAGAAACTGGCTCATTTTCACTAACTCGATTATAAAACAGTGTCTACAGCTTGTCATTTTACCTTTTACAATTCTTCCCTAATCATTATCCTAATTTCACTGTATAAGGCACCTGTAATCTTCCAATAATAAGTGGTCACCCTTCTCTATTTTTGTCTTTCTTATCTAATGAACTATTTCACTTCCAGCATGCTAGCTACCCTGTCTCTTAGTAGTTTTTTTTTGCTATCTCCCAGCACCTCTCTTTACTTATCCTATATAACATACCACAAGCTTTCCCTCTACTTAAACCCCACATTCTCTTGGTCTGGTTATGATATCCATTTTATGTATTTTTGAAGCACCTTAGCATTTCCTTATCACATCACTTTTCTTTACTTACCAATGTCCCCTACTAGTCTCTCAGTTCCACCATGTCAGGAAATGTGTTTTGAGGGTCTTCATACTTCTAGTATGTTTCAGAAGGTCCTGAAGCTGTTTGATCAGTAGATGTTTGGTTTGTAAAAGCAGGAATGAATGTGCTACTGATTTTTCACACGTGCCTTCACAGGACGCTGCCAAATATGAAGATCTTTATCTTTGCCCTCATTATGGCTCTCATGGTTACCATGATCGTAAGTATAACAGGAAAGTTTGAAGATTATATTCTCAGTAATTGCTCAAAGATTTCCTTGTGCCTTATATATGCATTGACCTGAATACAGCTTTATAAATTTTAATGATTTTAGAAGGGCATTTTCCTTGAACTCACCTCCATAAATTCATTAAGGATTAAGAATAAATCTTGAGTACACACCACATTCACACAGAGAAACTCAAGTCTAATTTGCTTAATGTGAATAGGCATTTTTTAAATGAACTCCAAAAGGATGTGGGGCTAAGAGGCTGATAAAGGACACTGAAATATTCAAAGCTGTACACATACCAAATGCCAGAGCTCCCAACTTGTATGTCATTTACAACTGTCTGTCCCAGGTTAAAGCTGGTCTCTCTGAAACTCTTTCTGCCTCCTCCTCCTTCTCCTCCCCCTACCTTTGTTTTTCCTTCTGTTAGACATATAGGTCCTTACACTTTGGCATTCTTTGTGTCTAAATACTGAGAAATTAGTCAAAAATAAAAACACTCATCAATTACTACAAGTTCTAGTGGGTGTTTCAAAAACAAATTGGTTATGGCATCAAAGTCTATCACATTTTTTTTAAACAGGATAGAAGTAGGAAAATAAAAAATCTAAGAAGAACAGAGAAAAATATACCACTATCAGCTCAATAAATATTTGAAAATATGTACAAAAGACATCCATACAAAATAATTTGGTTCACAAAATCCAAACTCTAGCTTATCAATTTCATTCTTCTATCACCATGATAGATTTTCTCCTCTCACACACAAAAGAAGTGTGTTTCAATGTAGCAAATGAATTTGACCAATACTCTCTCCTTTACTCTCTTGAAGATGTCATTAAATAAAATTAGTTTAGTGTATCAGTTACCTAAGTCTTTGCACTTATTTTAATCACAATTGTGGAAACTAAGGGCATTTTTACATTCAATTTGGACTTATGAAATAAAAATGTTCATTATTCTCTTCTTTTCTTTTTTCCCAAGAGTGCTGCCTCATTTGAGCAGGTAGGTCACTTTCATTCAATGGTTTGGCAATTAAACATGCATTACAATGATAATCTGCTTTTATTTGAACAGAATCATCATTGGTATAGAGACTATGACCTTGTAAGCATTCTCATTTTGATAAAGAATAGTGGAAAAGTATTTTCTTCCCTGAATATTTATTCTAAAAGAAGGATCTATACTTATCTCTGAGGCATCTCTATGATGAATAGCTTAAGTATACTCTGTTTTTAGTTATTTATGATACACTGATAAAAGACCTCTAAGTCTTGCATACCAGTAACATTTAGATGAGAACTCATAATGCCACCCTGAAGAAGCCAATTATTCTCTCAGAACTTAAGTATCTTCGTCTGGTAAATAATTTCCTTGATCTAAAGAACAGTTGAAATTCTATCTCTATCAAGTGGAACATGTGCCTAAGGGTGCATAGAGGGTGCTAAAAACATATATGATGTGGTTATTCTCCATCTTCTGATGCTTTCGAATGTGATGAAGTCATTAGGTTAACTTAAATGGACAATTACATAGATTTTAAAAAATTCATTTATTTATCATTTTTCTTAATGAAAGCTGTCATTGATACGTTATTCAACATGTCATCAATGTGATAAGGTTTCTAAAATGCTAATATAGTAAATAGGTGAATTTGAAATGGCATCAAATAAAAAGATGCAGAAGGAAATTGTGAATACTTGGTTAACAGAAGCAAATATTAAAGGAAGGTGTTTTCAGAGACAGTAAGCTCATTGTAAATTGAAGTGAGAAGTTTCACTTCCCCCTAACCTGGCATTAGGAAATTCCTCCTAACTGGAATATTCAAGGATAGCTAAAGTAGGAGCTTAAAATAAATACTATAAAGAATATATAAACCTTTGTCAGTGGTTTATATATACAGTGTCGACCTATAATCAATGGCTGCACGTGTATTATAAAACAACAGAATTGTCGGCAAACTATAAAAATGTGAATATCTTATCGCTTTTACCTTCTTTTAAGGTTTTTTCTTGTAAAAAGCAAAAAACATCCCCCCAGACTAAAGGTTTGGGAAAACAATCATGCAGATGACATATAAGATCCTACCAACTTTAATGACCTAACTTTTAAAAGGAAATTATTGTGAAATATTTGCCATGTCATGGTCTCAATTCTCACAATTTTCTCTTTCTGTTTGTTTGTAACACACAAAGTCTTTCGCAGATCCGGCACAGTATTCATCATTTGCTGGAGGTAATCCATCAGGTGCATTTCCAGTTCCTTTTGGCCCTGCTAAGTAACCACAGGACCTGACAGAGGTAAGCCAGGCCTAGTGAAATTCTATATTCTCCAAAAGTGTCGATGGTGACAGTTAAAACAAGAAAAGGCAAAAGCCATCTCTCAAAACCAAAGTAGCACCCTTGAAGAAATGTGCCAGGGAAAGCTATCCTAAAGTGTATTTATTAATCTAATGTCTCCAAAGAACTCTGGACTTTAGGGACAGGAATACCTGTGTTTGTATCCCAGGCATGGAGGCTACTATTTCACAACCTTGAACTCATCCTAAACTTTTCTAAACTTCCAATTGCTCATGGACAAAATAGGTATTATACTCATACTTAATACTTGTAGAATTGATAAGACTATAAAAGACATAGAGCCCTTGATGAGAATTGTATATAACTGTGACCACAGACTGCCCTGCATTAAATCTGTATGGATAATTACTGAACATTTCATCCTAAAATGTAATCTTTGGAGAAGCTGCACAAGGGCCATATGGGAATCTGTCTCAAATTTAGCATCTGAGGCCACCCCCAGACCTATTGCACCATAATCTGCATTTTAATAAGACTCACATATGATTCATGAGAATATAAAATTTCAGACACTTTGCCTTGGGGCATCTGATGAGCAGTGAGGATGGGGACCACTGTTCTAATATGCCACCAATGAGAAAATCAGGAAATATTCCCAAATTCCTCTTAGAAAGTCATGTCATCTAAAACAGCTTTAAGTGTCTCAAATTCTATGAAGATTAAGTATTTTGGAGACAGAAGAAGACTGTCCTATATAGTTCAAAAAGATTTCAATTATTTTCAAATGGACATAGAGAATTCATTCAAATTGAATTTCCTGTTGCCATTAGTGACAGGGTAAAGAGTTTCTGAACTTGACCCACCCCCACCCCTGTCAAAGCATTGGACAGCAGTTGAAGATATTTGATCAAAGAAGTATACATTAAAAATGTTATTTGGGAGACATTAATGAGGATGAAATATGTAGGCTCAATCTCAGAGGAGGGGTGAGGCCACTGAAATAGTTGATGATAAAAGGGTTAAAAGAATTATGAGAAAGAGGCTCTGAGAAAAAGCAATCAAGAGATTGATGATGGATTGAGTGAAAGACCAAATGGGCAAAGCCTCACAGAAAAGAAGTGTACTCCGGTTATCAGAACTGGATTAACAGCAGTAATAAGCCTTTCAGCAATGCCACGATGCCTCCCTGGTTATCTGTTTCTCTGTTTTTAAGACAGAGAATTTTGCTTTGTGCACATGTTTTGTGTGTTTCGAGTAGGGGATGTTAAGAAGATAAATTGGCTATGTTAAGCATTCAAATTGAAAAGCCAAGTAGGCTAAAATGCAGAACTGAACCACAACCTCTTGTAAGAAGTGCAAAGTGGAGAAAGAAAGATCAAAGAAATTCATTCAATGAAATTTTCTATATGCATTCTTTATTTATTAACTCCCTCCCTGAGTGACCAGGGAAAGAAAATGCTTGGTATTTAATTATACTATGAGATGTGTAGACCTGGAAATAAAGGAGTTCTTGAAACACTTGAGAAGAAGTAACTGGAAATAAATGAAATGCCTTGTGTAACTGTCATAGGATATAAAGGCCCAAGTGCATGTACTCAGTGAGCCTTGGATATTTCTTGGGCACATCAAGAGCCTGCAGAGATGTAGCTACTGCAGATATAAATGCCACTAAGTCAGAATCATTGCCCTTGATGGCTTATTAGCAAGTCCTAAAGATGGATGTAAAAGCAAGCCATCGTCAGGCAGAATGTCCATTATAAGGAAGTGATGTGAGTGGATAGGTTATTTAGCCTTTATGCAAGCAGGAGAATGGCAAGTAAAGTGACAGGGAGTGCAGACATATGACAAAGCAGTTCTTTGGGAAACTGTCAAAATAATTTAGGAGGAGAAATAAGAGCTGCAACGGAGAAAGGAGTAGTATAGAGAGCAACAAGTGGAGTCTGATTGCCTGACTACTTAAGAATTATTTTAATAAAGTGTTTTCTGTGAATGGTTCTAAGCAACACACAATTTTTGGTCAGGGATCTTTACAAATGTCAAATTTAAAAAGATTCAGATTTTGAAAAGGAGAGACTTCTTTCAGACAAGGACATTGCAAAAGGGAGATCCCTCAAATATCAGAAAACTACATGCTTTTCAACATGAAACAGAAAAAGGCTTTTCTTTGGAAGCGTAAAAGGAACTCAGCAAAAATTGGCAGAAAAGTTAAGAGGATGCTGAGCAAGGAAGGGGAAATGATCAGGAAGGTCTGACATGGAAAGTGTCCTCTCTGCTCAGCTGCTTCTGCACATTCCATTTTTAGTGCTTGTTCAGGCTTGGGGCAAGCAGGGTTCAGAGGCTTGAAGGAGAGAGAGAAGCCCGACACTTGGTCAACCAGAGCAGATGGCAACAAATGGACAACTGTGAACACTCGGTCAGTGACTGAGCAATCTGTCTAGAAATCACTCAACAGCCACAGCAAAGAACAGCATAGTTATTAGCTGGGTTTCATCTATAGTTCATATTTAATACAAAGAATGTTTTCTCTTTATCCACAGGCTTGGCGGGAAGTCCTACTTGCTCTTTCTCCTGATGAATCTTCCTACTCAAAACTTCTTTTACCTACCTACTAACACTTTTTTAGCTTTCTATATAATAAATACTTCCAAAGTACTTTGAAAAGCATGTTTTAAAACAATTCAAAGGAGTGCAGTATTATTGGTATTATGTTCTGCATTACATTGGCATTTTCAAATAATTTGACCGATCAAAAACTTCCAGCTTTTCAAAAATGAAAAAGAAAATCCAATCAAATAGTGTTACATGAATGACACACTTGAAATCAATGATCAATAGTGCTAAACAATAGTACTGATATTCTCTGAACTATTTGATTTTTCCTTCTTTGTTCTTTCTGTTAACAGCAATATAAAAATTTAAAAAAATAGTTGCATAATAAACTGATCTATCAAGCATATTTTGTTATCCCATCGTATCATTTTCCTCAGGTTGCTATAACAAAATCTCACTAGTGGCTAAAAACAAAAGAAACCTATGCTCTCGTCGTTCTGTCTGTAGAGTCTCTCTTTTTCTCTCACCTGACAGCCCTAGGATACGACCCTTCTTTGCATCTTCCTAGTTTCTTGTATTGATTGGCCATTCTTAGTGTTTTTTGGCTAATGGATGCATCACTTCTAACTCAGTCTCTTTTGTCACAAAGCTATCTTCTAGTTCCGTCTCTTATAAAGACACCAATCACATTGGGAAAAGGGTCCCCTCTACTCCAGTTGACCTCATCTTAACTAATTACAACTGAAATGACCTATAGTCCAACTTAGGTCTCAGTCTGAGGTATAAGGGGACATCATGATTTCTGCATACCTTTGGGAGAGGGACACTGGACACCATCTTTATCTTCATTCTCAATAAAATTTTTCTACAAATATGATATACTAATACCCACACATTTTGTCAGTATTTCAATATTTCAAAAGAAAAGACAAGTCATGTTATTTTTAATCATACGGTACAATGTTTTTGGAAGAAAGCAGTTCATGACAGAATTGGAAGCTTATTCTTAGGGCTAGAAAATCATCATGGCAAACTCATTTTAAATTTTGAAATAGTCTATACTGGAAGAAATTCTCATCCATGCAATTTGCATGAAACCCCTGGAATACTAATCAAAATCATGGCTTTGATTCTGGTTATGTTTATAAGGAAAAGTGATGCAGTTTTAGCAAGTAGCTGGAAAGAAAATATCAGCTATTTATTGCAAACACTGACTGGTAAAAATCTACAAATTCTGATGATTTACAATTTTTCCATGATAGAAATTTTATATAATAAAATTCATGGAGACAAGGTTTCTTTCCCTGGGAAATGCAACCAAAACTAAAGGCCAACTTCTAATCCTTAGAGGGTGGCCCACAACAAAAGGGCCACTGTTGGGACCAAAGTCATTTGAAGAGAATGTAAGTAGAGGGCTGAGGCTCAGACACTGAGGAAGGAATCAGAGCCACAGGGAGCTGGGAGAACACTCAGCTATGTTGGGCTTTGTGCCTCCCTATGAACTGCATTTTGACCCTCCAATTTACACACTTGGGTGTGAAAGACTTGTGCTACTTAACAAATCTGAAATAGAACTCTCCATTATGCCCAACATCTCTGTTAACTTTACTGTGCACTCACTCAGATTCAAATAATCCATGATTTTGTTTCATCTCTGCCTGGGGTTTTTTACATTTAACCCATATATATCTGGCAGGCTCTACCTATAACATGTACCCATATATTAATAAACATATATATACATACACATACACATGCACTTTCATATGTGTACAAATATCCATGCTCGCTATTTGTGAACACAGCAAGTTTCATTCATAAAGGAGTTTAAGTACAGTGCAGTTCCAAAATATATGTGTCTTTAAGATGGCAAGAGGTCATGTAGACATCCTGTCAGTTAGGCAGTGTTCATGAATTAGGCACTGAGAAACAACTTTGGCTCATGGGTATCCTTTGGAAGAGGCTAGATTCACTATCAGCTTTTAAATGTCTAATCAATGGCCTAACAAATAGGTATCCTTTCATGTACATATTGTTCCAAATGTTTTAACTCTGACTCTTGCTTTCTGGTGGTGTGATTTTGGCCAAGTAACTTAGCCTCTCTGAACCTCATTTACTCTTGTGTGATGACCCTAAAGGAGTCAGTGGTACAAGTAATGCAGTAACCAATAGACAGCAGCACCTGTACAATGCCTGACCCTGAGCAAATACTTAAAAATGCATAGAGAATCATTTTTACCTACTATGTTTGAGGACTAAGTGCTTTCCCACAAGGAGTTTTATGAAGTCTGTGTACAATCCGGTTGAATCAGGTATTGTGACATCCACATAAAGAATCCAACATTGAACAGAATTAAGTGCCTTGTTCACAATCACAAGTAAAATGTAGGAAGAAAGAAGTCAACATTCCCGGTCATTAGTTTGCAAAGGCCATAATACTTATAATACCCTCATACTGCCTATATTGGTTTCCTATGGCTACTATAACAAATTACCAGACACCTAGTGGCTCAAAAAAAACAAAATTTGCTTTTTATTTTTGGAATCACTTTATTGAGTTGAGATTGATATAGAAGGTGATACTATTTGTATATGTAACTTGATGACTTTGGGAATAAGTATATATGCATGAAACTGTTACTGAAAACTGGTGCTTCTCACCAAACTCAAATCACAGAATTCAATGACAAGGTTTTGAGGAAAGGGAGAAACTGTTTATTAATTTGCCAACCAATGAGGGAGTGGCAAGCTCATGCCTTAAAAAACACTTGTGCCTCCAAAGGCCAAGCAGTCAGAGCTTTTTAAGGGGAAACTGTGGGAGAAAGGTTGTAGCATTCACAGACTATGTAACGTAGCAACTTTTAGGGATCTAAACAGACCATCTTGTGCTGATACAATTGCTTTTTGTTTCTCTTATCGGTTCTTCCAGACTCTGGGACAGGATGGCTTGGATCTGCAAAATCAGCTTTCTGCATAATCTCTGACCCTGAGACTCAGAAAACAGAGAGAATAAAGAGAAACTGGGATCAGTTAGTGGTCACAGTGTTCATCTTCAAATTCATATTGGTGTTAAATTTTAAACCCCAGAGATTAAATTCAGTTCTCCTCTGTTACAAAACCATTACCCCCTAAGCCATAGACAAATCTATCACCTCCAAATTTCCTGCTGCCCCTTTATTATTATTATTATTATTATTATATTATTATTATTATTATTATCATTATTTTCTGTGTATATGTTTTGTAAGAACATTTGCCATGGAATTTACTCTTTCAGCAAATCTTAAGCATACAATACAGTATTTTTAGCTATGGACACTATGTTGTTCAGTAGGTCTCCAGGACTTAGTATATGGAACAGCTGAAGCTTTGTATCCATGGACCATCAGTTTCCCATTTTGCCCTCATCCCAGCCCCTGCAAAAGGAAGTCTCCTTTATACTTCCTTGCGCATGACTATATTAGATTCCATGTATATGTGAGACCTTACAATATTCATCATTCAGAGGAGCTTATTTCACTTATATAATACCCCTGAGGTCTGTTTTCCACACATCCATGGAGAAATTCGAAAGAGAATTCTGGCCCCCACTCTGCCAACATTCCCGACTCCCAAGGGAGACAGGGGATCAACTGAGGGAGACTCAGAGGAACCTAATGCCTGAGATTTGAGATCAGCAGCCAGCTTAGTCCTATTTAAATGGCTGACGGGCACCCAATATTTCACAGCATAGAAGGCGTTGGTAGTATGAGAACAGCGAAAGGAAAAGAGGAGTGTAAATGCCGATACTCACTTCAGAAGGAAATCCCCAGCGAGCCCCCAAAACACGATACCGGATTCATGTTCACAGAGCCGAAGAATGAACTTTGCAGATGCTCAAGGTAGGCAAGCAGGAGAAAAAGGCCTTTTCTTGTTCAGAAAAAGCAAAAGTACAGACTCCCAGCACACGCTGGGAGGGGACAACAGTGCCTGTGTCTGGGCTTTGTCTAGGGTCTGTATTTCAGACTTAGCTGAGTTGCTTTGCTGAGTTGTCTAATTTCTATCCCTCGGGTATGCTGTTCAGTGTTTTGACTAGTATCATTGAAAGCTGTCTATGTTTCTAAATGCGGCATACTTATGTGATTCTAACTGCTAGCAAAAAACCTACGGACATTCCTTCTACATTAAGAAAAAAACAAGGACGTTCTTGTGCAGCTGTTTTCCCCTTTCTGGAGGTTCTTATCCTGTTCTAACTAAACAGAGCCTTTCCTCCCTTCACCCCATCTTTCCCTCTCTAAACAGCATTCCTAGTATTTGGAAAATACTTACCCATTTATTTATTCAAGTATTTGTCCTACCATCACCTCACCACACTACACTTAGATTTTTATTATTAAATAGTTGCCTACACTCATTGAATCACTCTGTATAATGCTGTTTACATCAGTTTCTTGGTCCATGTTAATTTGAATAGTTTTAGAACTTTATTTCCTGGTTCCCTTATTTGTCCTTCTAAACATGCTATAAACTACATTCAATATACATTTCATCTTAGGCATTATAGTTTTCAAACATGCTGAATCTTTTCTGAACTTGAACATATAGTATACATTTACAATAAATATACATATCCTGTTCTAACTAGACAATTACAATTTACTACATCTATCATATGTGTCACTTCCAAGTCTGTTTATGCTGACTGAGGTTTCCCTTTATTGAGAGTCATATTTTCCTTCTTTATTCCTGGCCTGGTATTTTTGTTTGGATGCCACCTTGTGATTTTACCTTTTGGGGGTTGGAATTATTCTTTTTTTATTCCTTTAAAAATTATTAACTTATGTTCTGGGTAACAATGAAGGAACTTGTTAACAATTCCTCACTTCAGGGGCTTTCTTTTAACTCTAGTAGGCAATCCAGGGCATTCAGGCAATCCAGACTCTTTCACTAGGAGCCTTATTTAACTGCTACTAAGGCATCTAACAATGTCATGTGCATTACAAGGTGTTTGCACTCTGGGTGGCAGGCACATGGCTTGTTCTCAGCCTCCTTTGAGGTCCAGGGCTTCTACAACATGCTCCTTTCAGCATTCTGTCTCAGCCTCATGGGGATTCCTCACATTTATTTGAGCAAAACTCAGGAGAAGATTAAGGACAATCCCTGTATGGCTCCAGAATCCTTTCTCTCCTCAGTTCTCTCCTGTCTTTGAAATTTTCTCCTCTTTAGTTTTCAGTTGTGTTAATTGTAGACCCTTGCCAGCACTAGTCTCAACTATTTCTCTTCAACTCAGAGGAATTGCTTATTCTTTTTAGGCCCCACCTTCCTGCCCTGCAGTTTGTAAATTCCTTCCAGGAAATGAGCTGGGGCAATCAGAGGACTATTTTCATTTCTTTTCTTTCTCTCAAGGAACAAATCCTTCATTTCTGC